TATTAATTTTTTAAAGTAAATTAAAAATAAAATCAATATTTTCGATAAAAGAATCGAAGAATTGTATTTTAGAGACTGATTTTCTAATAAAACTTTTAATATGGTGTCTCAAAGAAAATAATGAGCTTGTAAATCTCCAATAGCAACTAAAAGATTTGCATTACCACTTAGCTTAGAAGATTAGAGGAGATATCATATTAGTTAATTATTTTCTTCTTCTTTTAGTGTATGTTAGTTAATTCTTGAATGGTGTGTGTTATGGATCATTAACCAAGCTTTTGAGAATAACATATATAAAAACTAAAAGATTTGCATTACCACAATTCTTAATTTTTTCCCCATCTTATCTTCTTCTTCTTTACTCTTTTTTTTAAAACTTTTGTTTTAAGTATTTGATGTTATTTTGTTTAATAAGTGTTTCTATTTTCTTATAAAAATGATGGATATTTTATTTCTGATAAAATAGCATATTTTCTCTCTTTTTAAGGTTTGATTTAATGTTATATTTTCAATTGACATTTATTTGACCATCTTATTAATTACTCATGATTTAAACTTTCATGTTCTGATAAATATTCTCAATCATCCTAAATAGGTCACACTTGAGTTGTATTAAAGAAAGTTATAAACTTGAATATTCATTTTTATGTTGGCGTTGATGGTATTTATTTTTCACCGACGATTATGATATTTATTTTTATCTTTTATTTTTTAAGATGTTTGGAATTTTTCATATAATTTTATTGTTACTGTTACGGTGGATATTTATGCTATTTGATTGTGTTAGAAAAAAATTAAATAATTTACTTTAACTTTTATCATATTTTCTCGTCGTTTATTCACTCTTCAAGTTTTATCTCCAAGACTTTGCATGGCTTCAAAGATATATCATAAACTTTTATACATTGCATTTATAAAAGATTGTTCCATCGTCTTGTCCATACATAGAAAAGGCCAACCCCAAGCTAGATTCACAAAATATATATATATATATATATATATATATATATATATATGCTCTTCTTATCTTACCACCTTTTTGAAGCCCACTTCACCCATAAACTTAATTATCACAAGAAAAGCTTAGAAGACAAATCATAACGATAAGGGTCAAGCAAACCTAGGCATTGCCTTGCAAACCAGAGGATTCTTCATTTCCATGGAGAGCTTCAAATGTTCAACCAACTCAACATCTTTGTCCTCACCAGGAACCCATTTGAAAGCTTGAAGCAACTGAGCTAACCAGAGATGAACAGTGGCCAAACCCATGGATTTACCCGGACAAACCCTTCGACCTGAACCGAAAGGAGCCAACCTAAGATCAGCTCCCATGATGCTCACATCTTCTTTGTCGATGAAACGCTCGGGCTTGAACTTCTCCGGCTCGGTCCAGAGGTTTTCGTTGTGAGTGATTGCCCACATGTTCACCATTGCTGTTGTTCCTGCTGGGATGAAATTGTCACCTATGTGAACATCATGGATGGCTAGTCGTGCCCATGAAAGAAGAGGACCTGCTGGATGAACTCTGAGAGTCTCCTTCACAATGGCTTGAACATAGGGCAGGTTCCGAATGTCGGAATCCGAAACCGGCTTCGAGTTTCCGACAACGAAATCGATCTCGGCTTGAGCTTTCTCTTGGATTTCAGGGTGTAAAACCATTCTAGCTAGTATCCATTCTAACAAGATTGCTACAGTATCAGTTCCCCTAAATATCATTTCCTGCAAAAACCATGCAAATTAATAATATCAATACCATAAGAAAAACATTAAAATGATGTTAAAGTGAGATGCATACCCATAAGACAGCAATCATATCCGAGTCACTGAGTTGCTCATGTTTCTCCAAATCAAGCAACACATCAACAAAGTCCCCAACTTTACAGTCATCTTCTCCATTAACCCTTTTGAGCCTATGTTCTTCTATAATCTTTCCAACAAAGACATTAACTTTCGGGGCCAAATTCTTACATCTTTTCCTAATACCTTGCAAATCAAGCAACCCCAAGAGAGGAAAATGGTCACTCCAGTTGAACATCCCCAACAACTCGTACCCTTCACTAACAAGCTCCTCAAGATCGAGCCCTTCATCAGTTTTCTCATAGTCATAGCTTTTACCAAACACAGTGATCATCACATTGTTCAACGACCCAAATGAAGAACCTTTTTAATAAAGACTTCACCTTTAGATTTCATCGAACAGTTTATCTCTTCCACCATTTTAGCACCAATCTCCCGCCTGAAACCTTCAAAGGCAGCGATTCTTTTAGGACTGAACAAATGGGTGGCCGAGATACGCCTCAAGTTCCTCCAGTACTCACCATAAGGAGCGAACCCCATTGCTCTATGAAACAACAGCTCATAAGCCGACTCCTTCACCGGCCTATCGGCAAAAGCCGAGTTGTTGAGAATATCCCTCGCGGTTTCGGGGTCGCTGGAGATCACAAACCGAGTGAACCCCACGGAGAAAGCCATCAGCTTGACTGCGTTAAGGGCTTTAGCAAGTTTAGCCAAAACTCGGTGAGGGGTGGCGCCGGTGAACACAGTGAGTAAACCGAGAAATGGGAACCCTAGTGGACCGAGGATGGCATCACTCGCCTTAGACCTGTACCGAGCCCATGCAATCCCCCATGGGGAGAGCAATAAGGCGACAGTTCCGACCAATAGAACAGACGAGATAAAGGCTTCGAAGCTCAACAGAGATGATCGAAACAACATTAAACCATGTTCGAGTGACATTTTTTTCGCACTTCCACTGAGATGGGTGTTCAACAAAAGACTGATTTTGTCAAGTGGAGAAACAAAAGGTTTTTCTTTGGAGCTTTAACCGAAGGGGGACAACGAAGAGTTTACTTGGGATAGTGCAAGAGACAAGGTGGTGGAGAGATGGGGTTTAAATAGAGAAGTAGGATAGACATTGCATTGGACAGTTAGCAAAAGCAGAAAAAATAAATTTAACCATGGTAAAAGTCACTAACCAAGTCAATTCACTAGTAAAGAATTTGTTCTTATTTTGAGATTTAGTAAGTACGAGTATAGGAATGAGCATTTATTATTAGGAAGTTGAAAGTTTTTGAACAAATAATACATTATATTAGGTTCATATTAAAAAATATATAATAATATAAAATATGAAGATTTTTTTGGGGGTTAAATCTAGATTTTAATCCTTCTATTATATTCTTAAAATTGTCTTCATTTTCTAAAGCAAAAGGTTTATCTCTATTTTTTTAGTTTAATATAATTCAAATTTCCGATTTTAACCCATATTTGTCCGAAATATAAAATTTTAGACATTTATAAAAGTGATTTTAGGTGACATTATATCATAATATCAAAGTTTCGAATCATTATAACATTATAAACTTTAAAATCATCAAATTTAAAGATGAATATAAACAAAAAGTGGAAAAATTGGACTAGTTTAGAGGTAAAATTATCTTTCTATAATATCATCAATTAGCCTAGCTTTTCTTTAATCACATTGATTATTTTCATTAAAATGTTGAGACAAATTAGAGAAAAACACCTTAAGCATTTGGTTGATTTGTAAAGTGTCTAAATTGTTATTTGAAGGTCTAATTGAGCTTATGTCCGTAATTAATTGGATATCAACTCCGTTTAAAAATGATCGAAAAGTTAATTTTATAAACCATAATTAATGTTACTGCAAGAATATTTTTCCTTTTCATTCCATTACATAATCTTTAAATAAAATAACTACATAGGAATCGAACAAATCATGGGATATTAAACCAAATCATATTAAATTTCAAATTCTTATATAATAAAAGGATCTAAATCGTAATTCAACGTTTTTTTAATAGAACAGAATTATATTTGGGGCTTTGGGGGGGTCACTTTGGGATGTGAAAGGTGAAAACAACAATTCCCATAATCTTTTAAAAAGTGGGAATCCCATCTTTTGCTTCAAGTCATTTTCCCATTGTGATTATGATTCCAGGCCACGCGCTCTCTTTCTTTTCCCAGGCTATGTGCGTTTTTCATTACTTAAAAAATATTTGGCAGCAGTGTCATGATCAGAAGTTGATGGGGATGAATCTTAGTCATGTGATCTTTGTCCGAAGATGGTGCTGTTCTGATCAAAATGTTAAAGGTTGCAGGGACCGAAGAGAATGGGGGGCATTACGTGGGTGTGCTTAGTGGGTATATTATCAGTGTATATGGGATAGATTTGCTAATCACTGCTGAAAAGTTCTTACTGATACGAAAATCATATCTGATCATCGTAGCTGAGAAAGTTAATGGAAAGATTTAGAGAATAACAATAATCAAGCTACTGATAGTGGATCCAGGTTGAAGAAAGTTGGTGCTCATAAAGCAACTCATAGTAACGATTGCTGGTTTTGTAGAGTTTTATGGACTCAAAAGTTTTGTATAACGTCGCGTGGATCGAGTTTTAATTCCATAACCTTTCATTATCATAATGTTCTAGAAATTGTGAATTTTAATACATTTAATGTTAGAATTTATAATTTGAATTTTGTTTAGATCGATTTAGAAAGTTTGTAATATAACCCATTTGGTAAAGAAATAATTTGAGAGAAAAAAAAGATGAAAATTTATGGTGGGTACGAATGTAGAGACCTTCGGGGTATGATCTAATTTTGTTCAATTAAAATTATTGTGTAAGTACAACTATATATATTCTCATTATGTAATTTACCATCGTTTATAATGAATTTCTCGTTCTCGCCCGACCGTAGATTTTAGGATTTTTTGTCCCTTCCTATTTTCTCATCTTGCACGAATTTGGGGGCATGCGAGCGCTGAGAATAGAATCTAAAATCCCAAAGTAAAGAAAGGTCATCATACTGCCCTTTCTGAAACATATATAAAGAGGGACCTGTAACTGAAGCCCTGAAACCCTGCACTTGGAAGCTGATAATGAATCAGCATCCATTGCAGCAAAAGTGGGAAAAAGCACAACTACTCTGACAAGACTGAAGGAAAAACGACATGACTACGCATAATATGAGAAATATAACAATATTTTTCATATACTTACCAACTGAGCTCCGCAAATTAGATGTTTTGTGCAACTAAACTTGAGGGAACTCTTTGATTGAATCAACAAAACAACAACCACAAAGACCTGTAGTAATATTACACCACCAGACAGGCATGTTTTCATTGTTTTTATGTTCAAACATCATATAAAAACAGAGCATCATCATCACCATCCACGATGTAATGCTTTAACCCAAAAATCAACAAGCAATACCCCCATTATCAAAGATATTATTATTATCAAGCTACAATCTCATTTACTACCTCCAGATACCCCACCGAAAAGGTAATCCAGAGAAGATTCACCTCCAGGGGCAGAATGAACCTTGGTGGATGGTCGATCCTGCATCCATGGAAAATACATGAGTTCGCATAGGGGTTCAACAACAAATAACCGTTTCATAAACTTAAAATCTTAAAAGGACTTGTAAAATAATCACAATTTGGGGCTATATACCGTAATGAAATTGCCAGTGTTCTGACCATCAGCACGCATGTGATAGTTTGCAGAAGCACTGTTAATACCAGCAGGAACTTGCTTGGTAATATCAACCGGTTCAGGAGCACGGGCGGGTTTGGGGGCAGCTGGTGCATCAGTTGGAGCAGCTTGGGAATTGTTTGTTGCTTGTTCCGGAGCTTCTCCACTCCCAAACAGATAGCCCAATGAGCTCTGCCCACCACCACTGCTAACACCACGACCCATCTTTTCCAACTTACTAGGTCAGGGAGCAAACAAGCAGCACAAAGTAAGACTAAAGTAGGAGGCAATAGGAGCAGATGAAGATGGTATGAATGAAAATCAGTTGATATTATACCACTAGAGGACTCTTAAACTACGTTGTTCATTAGAAGCAGAAGACAGGAAGCAAACCAACATATTGAGAGAACTTCTATTGCCATTCTTCACTAAGAATATTCAGGGCAACGTAATTCCTAGACTTTAAGCCACTTTTCACTTCTACAATGCAATGCTAGCCTGTTAGACTTCAATAGCACTTCCCTAAAAATTTCACATTCATATATATTTTAGATATTTTTCAATTGAAAATCTGTTTTCGTCCCATCTGAAATTTTATAAGTTCGCCACCCCTTAGAATTTTATAAAATCGAACCTAACATAAAATCATGCATTCATCTCTGTTTCCAAACAAGAATTAATAACACTTTTCACTTCTATAATGCAATGTTAGCTTGCTAGGGCTTTATCCCAACTATTGTGGTCTTTACCTCAAGGATAACACGCCAAGTAAGACTCAATGAAATTCCCCATTGCTCAGCCATTGAGGATAGATCTACACATTTTGTGGTTCTGTTCATAAATTGATTTCAAGTTTGGCACACTTCACCGAGTGGATTTGGTACACAATAGCAAAAATTACATCATATGTCATAGCTACTTCTCAACAAATCACAGCACAGAAGCTAAAACCCTAAACATCTAGCCATGTTCCAAATGTGCAAAGAAGAAACAAAAGGATTATCATATAATTCCTCAATCAAATATATATGTATATATATAAAACTATTTTTCATTCCATAATTTCACTTCTGAATGTCTTTTATCATATAAGCAGGGCACGGACGTAGAAATTTATGTGAGAGGATGCGAACTTAAGAAGTTATATTAAAAATTTAAGAGGTACGAAGTTATAAAATTTTAGGAGGTGCGAAATTAGATAATCAGTAAAAAATACAAAAAACCTTAAAAATATAAGAGAATTTGAAAATTCTAGGGGGTGCGACCACACCTTCAGCGCTCCCCTCAGCACATCACTGTACAGGGACAGATTCAGAATTTTATGTTAGGATGATTGAATTTATAAAATTTTAAGTAGGGGTGAGCTAATAATTTTAGAGGAGGAAGTGGACGAAAATATATTTTTAATAGAGAATACAAAAAAAATATCTAAAATATATAGAAATTTAAAAATTATAGGGAGAGCCGGCCCCTAGGTACATCCCTGTCCCTGCATATAAGTACTCTCCAACGATAAAATAAAGGCAGTAACTAATAATTTCACATAATTTCCACTTTAATAAGCATTAAATAATTAAAATACAAGGCCAATAAAACTAATCATTTCCAGAACCTCAAAAATTATCCAATAATATGATTACAACATCAACACATTCAAACGAATCAGAATAAACTAAACGTCACAATCCAAAACCTTTTAACCTTTCTACTTCACATCCTAAACAACAATACTAAACAACTCAACGAAACAAAAAACTGAGCAACCAAATCGAAAAATATCAAATCATACCAAGGAATTGACGGCTGAACTCAGTGAGTACAACACAAAACCTTATAAACGCGAAGGAGGAAGAGAGATCTTGGCTAGGGTTTTGAAATTACCTGAAAATGCCCTTGGGGAGATCAGATCTGGAGAAAAGAGGGAGTGGAAACAACAGTTGAGAGTAACAGCTACTTCCTACAGAAGAAGGAAAATAAAATGTGAGCCTTTCTTATATAGAGGGGTTGAAAATTTACTTTTTTTTTTTGCTTTTTCGAAATAAATAAATACTAATAAAATAGTAATTTTGAAATTTTAAATAAAATGTGACCAGGTTACTACTAAGTTTTGCTAATTCCACGATTTCAACATCTAAAGAGTTAACTGTACTATATGACTAAACAAATATGTTTTATAAATATTTAAAAATAAATACGAGTATGTATAATTTTAAATAAGGTAAATTACATGACCTAAACTATTAATTTTATATTTTTAATGCCTAAACTTTTATTTATTTTAAAAACATACTTTACCTTTGGTTAAAAAATTAGGGAACTATCACAACATGAGAATTTTTTATGGGTAAATTACCTATTTTGGTCATTAAAATTTACTTTTTTTAATTTAATTACTTAACTTTCAAATTTATTATTTTATTTTAATTATATATTAATAAAATAATAATAATAATGTAGTGTTGCAAAAATTATTAATAAAATAAATTAGAGTAATTAAAACATGAATAATTTGAAAGTTAAGTAGTTAAATTAAAAATTTTAAACTTTAGTGACCAAAATAGGAGTAAGAATATAGTTAAATGATGAATGATGTAATTTACCCATAAAAATATCACGTGCAACAGACCTAATAAACTTTAAATATGTTTTCAAAATAAATGAAAGTTTAGGTACTAAAATAAAACAAAATTGATAATTTATGTGTTAAATGTGTAGTTTGTCATTTTAAATAAAAGAATATGAATATAATTTTTATAATTTTAAATAAACGAATATAACCATATTAAGAAAAATTAATATGAATGTATATTTGTTTGTTTAAGGTATGTTCATTTATGACCTCACTTAAATTTTATTTAGGTTTAAGACTCGAAAAGTCTACGAATTTTGGAGAAATTTTTTTAAAATTTCATTAGTACCCTCTAACCGGAAGTGAAAGGAAATAGAATGAATCCAAATTTATCCTACAATTCTATTGGATCGTTCATTATAAATGAATCTTTAGATTATTTAAAAGTGACTAAAATTTACAATAATATAGGTATTAGAAAGAAATCGAATAATCTGAACCATATGGATATTATAAAAATTTAGGTTTCGACATAAAATTAATCTTGCAAACTCATACTATAATTATCAATTTAGATAATTTATAATTTTTTTCTATAATAATCTTTTTCAATACAAAACTCAAAATACAATAATATTATTTTAAAATTCAATTAAAACACTTTTAAATTTAGAGCTCAAACTTAAATTTTAAGCAATAACTTTGGAGGCAATTTAATACAATTAATCCAGCTTTAAAATGGGATGCGTTGGATGTTCGAAATCGTTTTGTTTGTAGTGGAATTAGCAACTACAAGAGAGAGAGGAATAATAAATTCTAAGGGTGTGCAAAATTATTCGACTCGACGATCCGGATCATAAAAGACCAAGTAACCTGACACTTTTCGGGTCGGGTCCGGGTCACAAAAATTGATTTTTCCGGATACCCAGTTCAGTTTTACCACCCTTTGCAGATGCACTCTGGTTTGGCCCTTTTCTACCTGCAACCATGCCTTTTCCATTGCATTTCTGGCTCAGATGAATTTCACCTGTGTTATTTTCTTTCCCAAAACCTATCACTTTGCTGCCAACTCCCACCTTCTCTCTAGCTTTTGTAGCACCAGCAAGTGACTTTTGTTCATTGACTTTGTTTAGCAATGAAAGTTTGGAACGATGAGTCTGAGAACTAACCTGCAAAAAGTTACACCAATGGGTTCTTGAACATGATCCAGTGTTTGGAATATGGTTTATTTTTCATCTTAAACTAACTTCTAGACATGCATAAACCAGTTGAAAAATATTCTACTTCAGATAAAGCTTAAATTATGCAAATTCTATGTGTCCCGCCCGTATTAAGTACCTAAGTTCAAAATTGTTTATTTTGCACAGAAAGCACAATACATACAAATGCACATGCACAAGCACAAGCATACAAGTTTCTGAAGGTACCAAGTGCTTCGTACTTTTGATTTTATGACTTCCTCCCAAGTTTGCTTTGTAACTGTTACTAATCTTACCTCTAAGTTTTTGTGTTTTTTTATTTAATAATTTTAAAAAAAATCTGGATATTCAAGTACCTGATATAAAGGTACCCAAAACATACGGATCAAGACACGGGCCGAGAAATCGTTGACCCGGATGTTCCGGGGACCCGGATTTGCACACCCGTACTAAATTCTTAGCTTAGCTTATACTCGATGGATCAGGTGCGACGTCGAATAGGGTCCTTATCCGCGAGAACACGTGCGATCCCATTTGATGAAATGAAACGGTGTCGTTTTCGTCCTTATAATATTACCTTGTCCCTTTTTGATCCCAACTTGAATGATGGATGGATGCATGCATGCATGGACCAACACTTTTTAATATATTTTTTTTGGCATTTCAGGAACAATCAGCATATATTATATTTTTACTTAAATATATTAATTTAAAAACGGTTTATTCGGTAGTGTTGAGAGCAGTAAACTTATAAAAATTAGTATAGAGAAAATCGCCTCAGTGACCAAAAATGCCTTATAATATACGATTTTAATCAACTTTTTCCGGATTTGCCAAAATGACCAACAAAATCGCAATGCGATCGCTAATTCGCAACGCGATCTCCATTATCGCAAATTCGCGTTGCGATAGTTGGAAATCGCGTTGCGATGGTCTACAGTGTCGTTGCGATTTTCTCAATTCGCAATGCGAATAAGTAAATCGCAACGCGAATTGGTAAAATCGCAATGCGATACTGACTATCGCAACGCGATAATACAAAATCGCAATGCGATACTGACTTTCGCAACGTGATTCTGACTTTCGTAACGAGATAATACAGAATCGCAATGCGATTTTCAAAGTTCACAACATGTTTTAGTTTCGCAACACAAATTTTTTGGGTATATATCTACGCAGCAGCAACAACTCATAACCTAAATCCCTAAATCGCAACTCATTCCATCTCCATCTTTCACTCTCTCTGGCGACATCCGTTCCTATATCCGTTCCTACATCCTTCCCTATCCGGCAACATGTCTTAGTTTCGCAGCTCGTTTGTTTAGTAAATTAATTTACAACCATGAAATCATCTAATATTGATCATGTTTGGATAAATTTGTGTTTTGGAGGGTCATGGGAGAATGTTCATGGTGTTTTACAATATATGCCTTTACCCATGAATCTTCAACTAAAATGTCATTAAAAAAGTTAACTTATGAAACTCTAATGTTACGTGTTTAAAAGAAATTGAATTTAGAGCCCCTAAGTAGATTTAGGCTATCTTATCAGAGAAATGGTAAAGTTTATTTGTTAACCGACAATGAAGATGTTGAACGATTCATTGCTTACATTAGTGTTTCAAGTGATGATGTTACATTGTATGTTGTTGAACCTAGAAGTAGTATTGTTGGGTCAGTAGCGGGTAGTAATCAACTAAGTTTTTCTCAAAACCCACAACCTTTCTCTAATCCAAATCCTAATCAACTTTCAGCACCAAATTCCGGTTTTCGTATTGACCAATTAGACGATGATGAGCCAACAGAAAAAATTGTGAGTACTAGTCAGTATTCAAAATTTGATCTTGGTCAATACCCGGACTTTGATATTGGTCAATACTCGGATTTTGATGATGTTTCAGAAGAAGAAACAGACCCTGCGTGTAATGATTTTGATATTGGTCAATTTCCGAATTTTGATGATGAAACAGCCGTTGCCGAGGAAGATGTTGTTGATGATAATGAGGAGGAAGTTACGACTGTGAATGAACATGTTGAACATCCATTATGTAATTCATATAATCCTGAAGAAGAAAAAGAAGAAGAAAAAGTCCCCGAAGAAAAGAAAATGCCACGGGAGTATAACTGGAATATGCCAGAATTACTTCAGATACCGGAAGAAGAGTTGGTAAAGAAAGCAGTTGATTGTTACACAAAAGTTATCCGTATCAAGAAAGATGATTGTTTTGATACAAAGGAAGACTTGAAGATAGCTTTGTATACGAAATGTGTGGAAGATAGCTATCAACTAAAAGTTAACAAATCAAGCAAAGATCGTTTCGAAACAAGGTGTATGATTGACAAAAACTGTACGTGGCGTATGATTGCAAAGAGGATAAAAGATTGTGAAATGTTTCAAGTTAGGACTTTTATTGATAAACATACATGTTCAAGAACCCAAGTTTTTCCTCACCATAGACAGGCAAACAAAAAGGTGTTGGGTGGTTTTCTGGCTGAGTTAATGTTTTTGAATGGCAGGGTATATCGGGGACATGAAATTATGACTGACATGAATGCTCGGTTCAAGATTAGTATATCATATTCTCAAGCTTGGAGAGCCAAATGTTATGCATTGGAATTGTTGAGGGGGTCGCCAGAAGCATCGTTTGCCCAACTGCCGGCTTATTGTCACAATTTAAAGCTGAAAAATCCTGGGTCGGTAACTCATATCAAAACAGATAGAGATGGACGCTTTGAGTTGCTGTTTATCGCCATTGGTGCTGCGGTTAGTAAATCAATATAATTCTGTTGACTCATTTTTGTTAGTTACATGCATTTCACATTTAAATGATTATATTTCTTGTGTATATTATTTTGTAGATTCGTTCGTTTATTACTTGCATGCACCCAGTTATTATAGTTGACGGAGCACATTTGAAAGGTCGATACCTTGGAGTAAACTTATTAGCAGTAGCCATGGATGCTAATAATGGGATATTGCCAATAGCTTACGGGGTTGGCAAATCTGAAACATCTGATTCATGGACATGGTTTATGGGGCATCTTAGGGATTGCATAGGTCCTATTAGCAATCTGACAATCATATCCGATAGGGCAAACTCAATTGACAACGCTGTTAGAAGGTGTTTCCCAGATGCTTTTCATGGACTTTGTGGTGTTCATTTGTATAGAAATCTAAAATCAAGGTCTGTTGGTATAAAAAAGCACAAATGGACATACTGGAAGGCTGTAAAAGCTTATCGGGAAGTGGATT